AGGTTCCTCACGCGAACAGGGGTTTTGGATGCAGGTGAAGGTCGTGAACAGGCGCCTGGAGCGCAGGCAGGAGTTTCGTCTGGACTTCGCTCGCTCTCTCTTTGTCACGACCCGGCCCGGTGAGCTCGTATAGACAAGCCGGGACGACGTAGAATTTTATAAAATTTATTACGTTGAATTCCAACGACTTTGACATTTTACCTCATTTAGTCGCGGCGCATCGAAATGCGTGCTACTCATACGATCAACAGTTTTCGGATTTTACACTCTTGCTTTTGCTCAGGACGGATAGACATGGGGTAGCCGAATGGCTTCCCCCTCTCTTGTTCGTTCTCTTTGAGACACACGCACGGAGCAAGGAATCGCCCAAGTCGCCCTATGCCGCATCCTAATTGCGCGAAACGAAGAAAATTCACTTGAGTGGATTCTCTGCGGGATTTGCACAAAATTGAGCGGGATTTTAGATGAGATCTCATCCCTTGATCTCAAATTCTGATTTTAGGGCTTAATCTAGCCCAAATTGACTGATTTGGACTAAAATTGAGCTCGAACTGGACTCAACCTAAACCGATTGGGTCGGTTTCGGTTCGATTGGGTCCGATCAGGTCCGATCGGGTCAATTTCATGAAATTAAACTTGAATCGGCATTGAATTGCGTTGAATTTGTTTCGACTAGGCTCGATTTGATTCGATTCGAATTGATTTTGGGTCGATTCAATCGATTTGATTTTAATGTTATGAAATTGAGTTTAATTTGATTAAAATTTGATTCGGGTCAATTTTAATTCGACGAAGTTCGATCGAGCGCGATCAAGCCCAATTGGGTTCGAATCGGCTTGATCCGGGATGAATCGGGCTCGATGCAAAATTATTCGTCTGCAACTATGCTGCCACTATCAAAATTATTCGTCTGCAACTATGCTGACCCTCATCCCAAATAGGATGAGGGTCTGAGAAAGATCAAAACCAAGTTGTTGCAGGACCCAAATAGTCATCCCAGTTACACGCTAAGGGAGCCCCAACTACTATATCCGGGGCGATTCGTCTTACCAAGTGGTACATTCCCAAGCTGTTGCAGAAGTTTATGGTAGCTCAGTTGAAGGACATTCATGATTTCAGAAAACCTACAGTTGGTTGTCCGCAAAGAGTTATATTGGGTAGGGATGCACTGAGATATGATGTGTGCCAGCGGCATAAGTACTTGGTTATGACACCAGGAGGATTACTACAGCCTCTAGCTTTATTAGAAAGGGTGTGGGAGGAGGTGATGATGAACTTCATCAAGGGGTTACAGCGTTCAGAGGGATTTTTTCTGATACTATTATTTGTGGATCGTCTGAGCAAGTATGCACACTCATCTTTATGAATTACCCTTACACCTTGTTCTCTATGGTTATTTCTTTCATATGGGAGGTGGTGCACTTACATGGATTTTCAAAATATATTGTGTTAGATACTGATAATGTGTTAATTAGTCATTTATGAAAGGAGTTGTTCTGCTTACAGTATATAGTCCTGAAGAGGAACACGACATACCATCCCCAGACAGATGACCAGAAAGAGATTATCAGCAAAAGTATGGAGACCTATTTGTGATGCTTTCTATCGGATATGCCAAAGTGTTGGGCAAAGTGGATTTCTTGGGCCGCATATTGATACAACACTTCGTACCATTTAGCGGTATAGATCACCCCTTTCAAGATTCTCTATGGGAGAGATCCACCTCATTTGATATAATATGGGCATAACACCACCTGTTTCTTATGTAGATTAGTATTTAAAGGAGATGGATAGAATATTAGCAGAGCTCAAGGGATATTGGTTGAGGGCCCTACAAATCATGAAGAGGAAGGCTAATGAGCATAGGAGAGAAGTACACTTTGAGCCAGGAGACATGGTTTACTGGAAGCTGAGATCCAATTGGTAGAAGTCACTATCCAGGAGGATGAATGAGAAATTGTCCCCACGATACTTTTGGTCTTATGATGTTTTGGAGCGCATCTGAGGCGTTAGCATTGACTCAGTATTTCATGTTTCACATCTGAGGCGTGTGATTTATGATCACACACTATCTTCATTGCCACCAACTTTGACAGAAGACGTGGAAGTCATTTTGGAGCTCCTAGAAGTAGAAGGGATGTGCCAAAGGGAAACTTAAGCGCATGAGGTGCTAATCAAGTGGATGAATTTTTTAAGTATGAAGCCACATGAGAGCCATGCGAGATGATTAGGAGGTAGTTCCCATCCTTTCACCTTGAGTATAATGTGCATCTTGGGGGGGGGGGGGGGTTTTGATATGTTTGGCCCAGTCCAGCCCAGTCGAGGCCTAACCTTGTTACGACTGGAGCTCACGAGTTTTATGTTTTTGATGATAACAAACATCTTTATATCTCAAAGTATTTATCATTCTATATTTGTTTGTGTGTATACTAACATTTCAGGAATACCATGCAACATCAAACAAAGAATCAAAGATCAAGATTGGGTTCAATAAGGTTATGTTGTAAAGAGTCTGTAATATTCATTGATGTAATTTTGATTTCTTATGTCAAGTTCTGTAAGGGATTATGCTTGCTTGGTGACCATGCACACACACACTCAGGGGAGTGAGATCTAGTTAAAACCAGAAGTTCAAGTTTTGAACTAAACTTACTGGACGATTTTGGATCGTCCAGAACGATCCTATATGATCTTGGAAAACTGCCGCCAAAGATAATTAGGCAAGATTTTAAGATTTAATTTTTGTTCTAATCGTCTCCTGGACGATCAATACAAATCATGCCTAAATTGATCATGTGATTATGGAACTAATTATGATTAAATTTTTCAATAGGACGATCTGTATATCGTACAGGACGATGTTTACCGACGTACTTGATTTTCCTTAGTCGTCCAAGTTGAAATACCATAATTTTTCTTCTAATCGTCCAGGACGATCCACAATATCGTCCGGGACTATCTGTACAAATTTGTACTGATCGTCCAGGACTATCCATATATCGTCCGGGACTATCAGGTCAAATTCTGCACATCTTACTAGACAATCCTGCGATCGTCCGGGATGATATTTGGTGCCGGAATTGAGTTTTTTAGGTTTTCTGAAGCCCTCTTTTTTGGCACATCGTACAAGATGATCCTGTGATCGTCCTTGACGATTTTTGCTGCCAAAATTAATTTTTAGGGTTTTTCAAAGCCCTCTATTTAAGCTTTGTCAACGACTTTGAAAGTGTCTTTGGCAGCCATTGAAGCTTCGTTCTTCTTGAGTAAACTTGAAGAGAAAACTTGAAAGGGAGAGAGGAAATTGTGGAGTTTGAGAGAGGGAGAAGATCCTTGGAGGAGGTTTCAAGGGAGTGTGGAGGGGGGTTAGCACGGTTGCTCCGGCGAGCTCACACCTTAGTACCATCGGATTCAAGGTTCGTCTTTAGGGAAGTTTTGGGAAGAAGATGATATTTTTGGTGTCAAAGGACCCGGCTACTGCGTCTCACCGAGGAAGGTGAAAGTGATTTTGTAAGGGCTTCTCCGCCTAGCTGTGGGGGCTAAAGGAGAGACAATAAAGGTTTAGTGCAATACTCGGAGGGTGCCTCCTAGGAGTGGAAGTAGGTCAGGTTGGACCGAACCACTATAAATCTGGTGTGTTCTTTCTTATTATTTTTCGCACTTTATTTTTTTTTTTGTGATTAACTGCTTGGGTGAAATCTATGATTGATCTTTTTATTATTGATTTAATTTGTTTCCGCTGCAAGAGTTAAAAAGATTGTTCTTTTAGTTAAAGAAGTTTTAAATATCCAATTCACCCCCTCTTGGTTAGCCTCGGGACTCATTCATAAGAGCTTAACATCCCTAACGAACTTTCAAACCTGACATGTGGTTTGGAGGAACTAGGGGTAGCAGGAGAGGAATGTTCAGCCCCCTTGTGGGGCTAGGGAAGCTATTATTAATTATGTAAGAAGGACGAATCAAGGGGGGAGTTTTTCAGGAAGATTTTAATTTAGATAAAGATGGCTGATTAGAAGAAAAATTTTATTTAGGGAAAGATGACTGATTTGACTTGAATATTTGAATTCAGATTTGGGATGAAAGTACAAAGTATTATATTAGGGTTAATTGGGTTTTATTATTTTCATTATGAGATTTGTGTTTGTTGTAGTTCTCTTTAGAGTAGTTCCTAGCAGCGGCTAGGGTTTGTGGGAGAGCCGATCTACCTCTCGAAAAGGAGATTTATTGTATCTTTCGTTATTTTTGTACTAATAAAAAATCATCCCCCATACTTCTATTCCTGCAATTTTTTCTTATCTAATTTGTTGTTTTTGCTTCTAAGTTGCATGAATATTATTAGTAGAATTTGAACTAGATGGTTGAAGTGTGATAGAAAAGTACCCTTCAAATTTAGGAGAAAATTTAATGATGATGGTGAGACATGCAATGTTGTATAGTGGAAAATGTTGGTCATTAAATGAGAAGCATAAAATTAAGTGTTGCAGAGATGAGGATGCTCAGATAAATGAGCGGCTTTACACTTGGAGACAAAATGCAAAACGAGTACATATGTGAAAAGGTTGGAGTATCTTTAGTGGTAGAAAGGTTAGAGAGAGTCATCTAAGATGGTTTGGTCACATAAAACGTCGGCTTTTTCATGACCTAGTTAGAAGAGTGGATGTATTAGATTTGGCCTATGTTAAAAAAAGGTAGATGTAAACCTAAAAGGATTTGGTTAGAAAATATTAAAAATGATTTTTTTTATTAGATTTAAAAGAGAATTTGACTCTTAATAGAACACAAGGGAAAAAAAAATGATCAATGTAGCTGACCCCAGACAGTGGGTCTTGTCCTCCGAATTAAATACATAAGAAAAAAATTGAAATATTGTACAGGCTTCACCTTAAGTCTTTAAATAATATTTTTGTGTACTTTCATGCATTCTTATTTTTAATTAATTTCTCAGATATTATATGCAACTGCTTGTGCCATGATTAAAATTAAACCTGTAATCTACTTTTCAGCATCACAAGGAATGCCCCCTAGCAGAAGTTAGCCTGAAGCTTCCTGGGGATCACAACGTTCTCAATTCTTTAGCCGTAAGTGCAATATGTGGCCATTTACTCGCCTTTAGAAGCCATGACAATTTTAATTTTACCATAACATTTTCAATTTTTTTGTTTGCTTCAACAGGATTTATTTATAGTTAAAGGACATAGAAAACCTTTTTTTCTTTTGTTAAATAATAGATGATATGAAACTTTTCTATGCTTGATTATGTTTGTCTTTTTGTTGCATAGTATGCAGCTTGCAGTTTTATAAAGTAGTCATTACTTCGTGAGGAAAAAAAAAAAATCTTAAATATCCTGCTCATAGAGGAAGATCAGCATACTGAGTTTGCATTAAAACTACCGTCTCACGCAGGGATAAAATAAATTATCTTATAGCCATCTGTGCAGGGAAATAGTTGGGATAGGGTTGATATGATGATTCTTTCCAACACTATCGTAAAGCTGAAAAAACATTTCCTTATTTTTTTAGCAGTATAAGTAAAAGAAAAAGAACTGCAAAATAAATTAGTCATTTCTAGCTTCAGGTTTCCATTTTCTAATTTACCTGTATCTTGTTTACAAAGACAGCATTCTCCAGATTTGAACTTGTTTTTTAAGATAATTAAAAATTGAAGTGCCAAAGAAATTGTAGTAGAAGAGCCGAACAAAAGTCCGTAGTTCTTGTCGAAAAGCAATTTTTCTTGCTGGGAAAAATTGCCGTGCAAAATGTATTCCAAAAACCTGAGCAATCCAGTTTCATTTGAATTTGTAATCATTAGTGTTAGATGATCTATTACAATAAAAAGGAATAATAATGATTAGTCATACTAATATTTCTTCAAAATCTATCATACCTTAGAAGGTCACAATCACTCAAAAGATGACTGCAAGCATATTAAATGTGCTGATAGCAATTTTTACAGAAATACTTGAAGTGGAATTTTTAGAAATTCTTTACGTTGAAAAGGATGATTTTTTGAAATACTCAAGATTTTTCTTCAACATGATATTTGATAATTAAGTCATTCTGACTAGGTTGATAGAAGAATCACATTCATTATTTAGGAGAGTTCCTTTTGTTTCTTGAGGTTTTCGTATTTTATAATTAAGCATGTTACGAAATAGATATCAACGTTTTAAGGCTATTCCACTAATTCTAACTTAACATGTAAATGGTCAAGTATTTATAAGTCTTTAGCACATCTAATTTTACATCAAAGATAATTTCTTGTATTTTCAAGGTTATCGCAACAATTGCTAACTTGATAAAAGATAGAGATGTTCATGATACTGTCAACTCGATCAAGTACCACTTGAGCAAATTTGAAGGAATTTCCAGAAGATTTGAGTTCATTGGTAAGGTGAATGGATGCTGCGTCTATGATGACTATGCCCATCATCCAACAGAAATCCGTGCCACACTTCAAGCTGCGAGGCAACTGTTCCCTTTTCAGTCTTTGTGGGTTGTATTTCAGCCACATTCCTTCAGGTTGCATTTTTCCAACTGAGTTCACCATTACCAAGCTCTGATATCATGATATGGTTAAGCATTCTGATTATGATTAACTTATATGAATGTGTTTTAGTCGAATTGCTGCGTTCATGAAAGATTTTAGTACTTCCTTCCTTGATGCAGATTATGTAATTATAACTGAGGTAACTCAAGGATGGATTGACTTCTGTATTTTTTTTTTTTTGCTCGACACTTGCTGACAAGTAAGCATGGTTCCTAGGTTTATTCACCTAGAGAGAAACATACAGGGAACTGTTATGAGAAGGACCTAGCAACTTTGATCAGTGATCCAGCATCTGAATATATTCCTAAAATGGTAGAGATAAAAGCTATCATTTCTTTAATATTAATTTCTTTCCTCCTTTCACACGCATGAAAATATGGTCCTGTCTTTCTTATTCTGTTGCTCTTTTTGTTTCTTCATCTGTGTAATTAGGTGGACGTGCTTGAGAAATTAGTGCTTGGCATATCAGCACAGAGAAATCAAGAAACAATTGTTTTCACCATTGGAACTGACAGTTAGTATTACATATAATTTTAATAGTATTGTGCAACACGAGATAGTTCATTCGGTTACCCACAATTTTTCCATGACTAAACAACTGTAAGCCTTGTCTCTTGTAGATGAAATTACAGCCCTGGGGCCGAAACTATTGAGAAGATTGCAGGAAATATCATGAAATATTCAACAAGAAAAAATAAAAAAAGGTTAAAAAATATGCTAGCTAGTTCCATTCATTGTTATGTTTATATATATATATATATGGCAATTATTGAAAACCTATGATAGTTTTCCTATTCCTTTTTTTAAAGAATCTGGTATGTTTTTTTTTTTTTGGCAGGTATGGAATTCTGAAATTGAAGGGGGAATGTAAACCTTAAAACACGGATTCTAGCTTCAGTGCTTGCTAAATCCTCAGCTATCTTAAGCCAAAACATTGTCTAACATTCAAATAGTGCTTAACAGTTGACATACATTAGTTGCTGTGACATGAGTATTCTAAGCGGAAATTGGTGATGGCAAAGTGGATCTAAAATTTCATTTTTGTCCAAATGTAAAACAAAAGATTGCCTGCTTCTATTAATATGAAATTTTACGATTTGTCTTTTTAAGTAATTAGTCTTAAGGGAAATTTAAAGACAACGTGGAAACTACTGTTTGGATATTGGAAAGCCCTTGATCCCATGGACCTTGTTTGATGTAAAAGCTTTTAAAGAGGAATTATTAAACTTTGGCATGGTTACATATTCGGAAGTTTAGTCAGTTTTATATAGTCTATAATGCTTTGTAAATTAACTCGCACTTAAGCCAGAGCCACGTCATTTTGGAATGATTTGTCTTCATATTTACATTTGAAGCAAGGTATTTTAATTTAATATTTAAATAACGTATCCCTAATATTATAAGGTTTACTTATAAAATGCCATGTGAACTATTGCATGGTAGTGATGTGGCTGTTAAGCCCTTATTGATTTGTGGGGCCAATTGACTTGACCTCGTTTAGTTGGGAGGACAATTGACTTGGGTGTTGACCTCTAAAATATATTTAATGACATATTAAGGAAAAAAAAGCCTCTTCAAATTCCTTCTAAAATAATCCTAATTAAAACTGAGGGTTTAAGTAAACTCTAATTAAATTAAATAATATTGACCTCAATTAATTGCAATACCCTGAAGGAATTCAATAAATCAATTAAACTTGTAAAATTTTTAATTAAATAAATACAAATCATAATAACATAATCTAAAATGAATCTAATTTTAAATAAATAGTATAATTGATATAAAATAAACCGGAAATCTAAATCACATTAAATTCTAAAGCCAAATCTTGGTCAAACCTATCATGAAGGGTTTATAGTTTTAAGAATTCAATAAAAGAACTAAATAAATTAGTTAAAATTAAATAAATAAAATTAAAATTTGAATGATTTAAATAAAAAGAAATTAAAATTTAAGTAAAATTAAATAATTAA